GAATTTATACCTTTTCCAATATGAGGAAAGGCATCTTACCAAATTCTCTTTTTCCTGAGAGGCCCTCACTTTCTCAAGTTGTATTTGTTCTTCCAGTGCAGTGATCTGAGAAGACAACATGTTAAAGGGTTAGTTTCCTCAAAAATGAAAATCTGTCATTACCCTCAAACCCACGATTTTAATTAATCTTCAAAACACAAATATTTTTAAAGTCATCATGAAATCAACATTGAAAATTCTTATTTTTTATGGAATATTGCCGTATTTATTACAAATGATTTATCCGTGCACATCATTATTATTTTTTAATTCATGTGCCCTCGTAATCTTTAATCAAAATAAGCCCCCCTCCCTCAATGACTTCTCTTCTCTTCTCTTCTCTTCTCTGATGACGTGTGTGCTGGTGTGAGGAGGACAACCTGTCACTGACATGACATCACAGCAATACCAAACCACAACCATCCATTCAATTCCAGATGGAAACAATTCTAGTCGAAAAGGTGTTTCACTCTATTCATGAAGACTAATGAAACCGGAGAGATTTCTGTGCCACTGTTGATAGTCCATCCATGCAATTTATACTTTGAAGATCCAAAAAGTTAATCCATAAAGAGATCGTAGAAGTAATCAATATGAATCAAGTCGTTTAATCCTTCAAAGTCTTCTGAAGAGACACGATTATACTTTGTCATGACTGTAATCACCATCGGCATTGAGTGGGACTTGATTTTACGGATTACTTTTACTATCTCTTTATGAACTTTTTGAAGCATCAAAGCTTTACACTTTCAATGGAGGAACATTCTCACAGGTTTCATTCAAAAATATCTTCATCTGTGTTCTGAAGATGTATGGGGTTATGGGTTACGACATAGACATAATAAATACATGTATTTATTATGTCTATGGCTTACGACATGCATAGGTGTCATTTACACTGGGGACGCTGCAGGGACATGTCCCCACCACTTTTTGAAATGGCTGATTTTGTCCCCACCACTTTTTGAAAGCATTTGGTTAATGTTCTGAAAAATCAAGTGAACCAAGAAATGTTAAAGGTTTATTTGCACAAAAGAAACAATGTACATTGTCCAAAAAAAGTAACTTAAACAAAATAAACTATTACTGATTCTAAAATTACCCAAAAACATGCATGTGCCGATCAGTAACTTGAACAAATTCTTGACACAGATTCTTCTTGTCCAAGTCATCCATTCTCTCTCTGTGAACATGACACTGCATTCTATGTGGGTTGCAAATCCCACATTGTTTTAATTTTATCTGGTGTTATTTGATGCAGATGTGTTGCGTTGTATGCTTATGGTGTGTTTTCTTTTACATATGTAATGTAATCATTGACTTAACAATTTCATTGTAATCATTGACTTAACGCGCTGCTGTTTTCTACAGCAGGGCTCGGCATTAAGCCTTTTCATGTGCTTGTCCTTTGGACAAGTAAATATGTCATTCACTTGTCTGAGTAAAAAAGTTGCTTGTCCGTATTTTGTTGTTGTTGTTGTTGTTGTTGTTTTTTTTATTTATTTTTTATTTATTCTGAAGCAATATTCTCATCAGTGTTCAATCAGCTTTGATATTTAAATCGGCATATTGTAATATCTGCACCTTTAAAGGGCATCTCCTCCCCCAATCTTATTAAATGTATGCTTCATCTTTCATTTTAAATTCCTAAATTTGTTACCCTAAGTAGGGCTGATCAAATTAAATCATTTACACTGAATGGTTAAATTCTGAATGATTAATTTCACTGAATAAAATTCTCTTTTACTTGTCCCTTCAAAAAATCCACTTGTCCCAGACAAGCAGACAAGCGTTAATGTCGAGCCCTGTACAGTGTGATGCTTTGGCACTGTTCGGTTGAGCTGGTGTTGCAGGGACTGTTACATGTGCAGTCGACATTGTTGAGGGTTTTATGCTGAGTATTTTCGTGTTGTTGACTGGCTTACGCTATGCCTATTTTTGATGCGCCATTATTCAATATTTTTCCCGTCCTGTTGTAATGTTTTTTTCATCTGATCTTTTGTCCCCACCACTTTTCAACACAAACTGACGCCCCTGACGACATGTACTCACGAGGGTGAGTAAATGATGACCATTTTCGTTTGTGAGTGACCGAACTATCCCTTTAACAATATGAAATTAAGAAGACTTATCATACACTAAAAAACCGTATCACGTATCCTGTAGCTCAACATTTTTTATTAATTTACAGGACACGTGAAACTGCATTCAAAATACCCTCTCATCATTTTGCAGGTGTTTCTTCCTCAGAACAGCGATGGTCTCGATGGTGTTCTTCTCTGTGTTGTGCTGTAGATCAGTGAGCTGCTGGTTGGCTCTGTTCAGTCGTCGCGCTGCTTCAGAATACTCCACGCGGGAACACTCTGTCATATCACACCTGGCCTCCCACAGAGCCGCGTTTGCTTTCGCCTTCTCTATATCAGACTCCTTATCCCGTTTTGACTCTTGCTTTCCATCTTTTTTTCCTTTTCTATGTAAAAATAAATAAAAATAAGAGTAAAAGTCATATAACGTTATATAGGCTACTTTTCAAATTCGAGCAGTTGGATTCGCAGTTTTTCAAACAAACTCAAGGGTACTTCGTAATCTACGGACAAAAGGAATGTTTTTTCTCACCCTTTTCCTTTCTTTCCCTTCTTTCCTTTTTTAATCGGCATCTCTCTGCTTTAATCAGCTGTAGTCAGTGTTCAATGTGATCTGCTCGTGCAGGATTAGTTTGTTTACTATTTATTGCCATGGAGACACTGTAACACGTCACATTATACTGTCCACACGGTCCAAACTTGAAAAGTTTTTCTTTTCCATAAAACCTTTAATAATCTTTCAAAATAATTAATATTAGCAGAAATGAAAATGCAAACCAAAACTTTTGAATGTTGTATCAAACATTTGTGAACAACTCAAATTGAAAAAAGCTCAGTGTATGGATATCATTGATAACCATAACAATGCATCCCTCCATATAACATTACAGATACCTACAGTACAATAATGTACTGTACATGTACTTCATATTAATTAACTACTTTTTAAAAAGCTATTATCGTTATCTTTTTGTAGTGAACATGACCATTATATTGTGGCCTCATTCTCTTTTACGGAAAGGGTGACATTTCTCTTTTACGGAAAGGGTGACATTTCTCTTTTACGGAAAGGGTGACATTTGCTTGTTGTAACTCTTCAAAATTAAACTTTATTTTGTATCTTTTTTCAACACTGAATCTAGTACTACACATATTTAACTATTCAAAATGTGTATTGGTAATTAACACCAATCAAGTGTAATTTTTTACAAGGTTTCTAAGCAGAAGATGGACGCATGTTTTCTCAGTCCTGAGAACACAAAGCCATTTTTTTTTTCATTTTAAAGACCGAAGCATCAAGCTTATCAATTTTTTTATAATTTAATTTATTAAACAATTGTATAAATTATGGACCAAACAAAACTGATAAAAAGAGTGGTTTAACTTAATTTAAAAAATAATAATTTAACAGGAATGAACACTTGGTAACAGGGGTGTCCATATGTGTGTGTGTGTGTGTATGAGAGCGTGTACATGACTGTGTGTGTGCATAAGATTTTTGTGTTGAAGTGATGTAATATGTACTAGTAGTAATTCACAGTGAAGGAGGTGGAAAGAGAAATAAGGAGAGAGAGGAGAAGAGAGAGGGAGGGAGAGAGAGAGAGAGAGAGAGAGAGAGAGAGAGAGAGAGAGAGAGAGAGAGAGAGAGAGAGAGAGAGAGAGAGAGAGAGAGAGAGAGAGAGAGAGAGAGAGAGGGAAGTTAAGACAAAAAGGGGGAAAAGAGAGGGTTGCAGGTGTGTCTTGCTTCTTTCCCTTGCAGCATGCCATGGGTGGGTGTTTCTGGCACCTGCATAGTATGGGTTCTCTCCATCCTCTACAAAATATAAGAAAACGTTTAAGTCACTTCGTGGTGGACTGGCTCCCTGGAAGTATGGTATTCACATTGTTAAACATACTAATGTCTACAATTTAAGTAATTGCAACTGTAAAACTCATAAATCAGGTGAATAGTATTATATCAACTTATTAACAGGACTGAAAGTAACAGAAAAGAGTTTTTAAGCAAAAAGTTATCAAATACATGGCATATGGCCACATAACATACATGCAAATAGCACAAGGACACTGAGCAAATTCTAGTGACTTACCAAAAGTTAATATTTTTAAAATAAATAAATAAAATCTAAGAAATAATTTAGGTAACAGGACAGTATGTTGAGATTGACCTTCTCAGTCATAGTTACAATTTCATACAGAAATTAAAATGAGAGGACTTACTTATGGTCTTCCCATTGCCTTCAGAAGATCCAGAGGATCTTCCTGTTGAAAATGGGTCTTGTCGAACGTTCCAAGTTTTTCAGAGGTGGAAATGTATTAATTAGGGTAACAGGACTGAGTGAAAACCCTGGGACATGACTAAAATAAGTATTTTATCTAAAATTTTATATAAAATATTTTTTTCTCATGAAAAAATAAACCTTTTAGATTGGATATAAAGTTAGATTGGATATAAAGTCACACAGCTATGCAAAAAAATTAAGATTTCTGAAGGATTTTAGTCGTTATATTTCATGGTAAAGTTTAGAGATAGAGTGGGGACATGCACCAAATGCAATTTTTTAGTGTTCTATGTTTTTATTAATGTTTTTAATTACACATTTTAAATTTGTAGTTAGCTTAATGTACGGGACATTTTGCTTAATAATAAAATGTATTTTAGAGTTAATTTACATGCATTTTTATACATATAATGACCTGGGGACAGAAATGTCACCCTTTCGGTGGAATGGCTCGCTTAACTCTAATCAGAAACTGAAAACAAGCTTTTTTGTTGTTGAGCCGCATAAAAAGCACACACAAAAGCTCTTACAAATAGCTGTTTATTTGCTTCATAAAAAATATGACTAAAACAAGAGATATAATAAAACATTAATTTAGCAATAATAATATACGGTAGTCATAATCAAAAAATCGAACACTGCAACAACATAAATAATACACATTTACAACTATTTTAAATAAAATCTTACACCTAAAATCAGAATGCACACAACCATTATAAAAAAAACCACACCATATAAAATAAAAAAAACCTGTGACATTAACGGAACAGTAAGGCTTTTGAAATTGAGTATATTTTATTTGACCTCACTGCCAGGCTGCTCTCTTTCCCAACACACGATTGGTGACTCTCTGCAGAAGAAAGATGCAATGCATTTGAATTGTTAATCAAACCGGTCATGTGTATTCCTGAAATTCTTGAAATAACATTGATTTAAAAACTGGCCTATTGTGTATAACTGCCAGCCCAGAACAGCCGGTATACCTTGTTAAAGAGTTGAGCGTTGAGGCGGTAGGAGCGGTATTCCATCCGTCTCCTTTCCTCTTCCTTTCTCTTCTGGACCTCAGGAAGTTGAGCGTATTTCCTGAAGGAATACAAATTTATTTGACAATTAAAATACATAATTACCTGAACATCAAAGTCAATAAAATCCACATAAAATGTTGAACTAGACTGCAGGTGGGGTACACATGCCTCTGACTGGGCCTAACTTGAAGTTGAATCACATCAGGTATTCCATCACCCACCCACCCAGCCCCACACACACACACCTAAAGATGATGATACACAGGGCAACTTTTTGAGCAATGTTGCAGGGCAATCTTGCCGACCGATTGTTGCTTGGGCACTTTCCCTTTAAAAATGGGCAATACATTTCTATCTGGATAATTTAGATCAGTTGTGGGCCCTGTGTCTCATCTGGTTGCCTGTTGACGGCAACATTGCCCAGCAACATTGCTCAAAAAGTTGCCCTGTGTATCATCACCTTAACAGGGGACATTCGGAGACTTCAATTGTTTTTATATACAGCTATTTATAAATACTGTAACCTAACCTACACCCTAACCGAAAACTTTCTGCATTTTTACCATTTTAAAAAACTTTTTTACAAATAGGAACACACACACACACACAGTCACACACACACATATTATTACCTCATGAATCTGTCTGTCCTGTCTATTCTCTGACTGTGTGATTTCCTCTCTACCCAACTGAAAGCATGTAGAAAGGCATAAGAAAACTTGCAAATAAAACAAAGTCATGGAATCCTGTTTAAATCAGTTAAATGACCCATATTTGCATGTTTAGGTATGCTCTGTCTGTTACCACCACATAAACTATCCAGATGGTTTGAATATAGTCTTGGTGATAATGTATACTTACTCTTTGGATCGTTGGACCATCTCTCTTCTTGGAACGACTCGTTTACAGGGTACTGGCGCTGGTGAAAGAGGCATGTTTTAGCTTAATTCTTGATGCAAGCTGTACCAAGCTTGTAAAATATATACTGAGCTAACTACTAAGTAGTCAGTAATTTTACCAAAGTAATATCTAAATAATATTAGGGTATACCTGGTCTGAGTGGACGTGATGGTCCAGGGCAGTTGAAGAGCTCTTCTCTCTCTCTGCTGAAGACTGTCTGTAACCTCCTCTCCTCAACCAGCAACCCCAGCCGCTTCATTCGCTCCCGTGAACGAGACACAAACTCCGGCCGATGGAGCGCCAGAGCTTCCTGTAGGAAAACCATCAATGCAAATGTTTAATGTTATGCTTAATTTAACAATTAACATCCATGTACTCTCTAAAACCACACAGCCAGGGTTCAAAATGAACACTAGCTCCAAATAAGGACCATGCTTCAAATCAGAGTAAAAGCCCGTTCACACAAAGAATGATAACTATAAGGACACCTATCCACCTTATTTTTAATGTACGAGCGAGTGCGACCATATATAATTTAAATGAGCAAGGCTTCCGGTGAGAGTCGCTTCCAGTTATGAAAATCTCTGTACAAAAATAGTTTATTATGCTGATTGATATTGTAATTTGGTATTTATGATTTAATTTTATTATAGTAATCATAAACACACTGGTTTGTAGCACAATTAGTTTTACTGTTTACTGCACTTTTCTAGTCATTTAGATATAGCTGCTAATATGGCTAATCTAACACATTCACAGAAAACAGCTTATGTCAGTGTTGCAAAACATGGTAGAAAATGATAACTATATTAGCGTCCACAGCACAAGCGTACAATAATGTTCTGTTTATTATATATAATTAATTATGTTGTGTACCACTTTAAATGCTCAAGCTCATTCAATTCGGGAGGCTTCTGATTGGCTGTCAATTAGTTTTTTTTATCGTTTACAGCTGAAAAAAAAATGGTTCTAAAAGTAATTGCAAGAATACTGTTCCTCTGTGCTGTTATTGTTATAGTTGTGGTGCGGACTGCTATTCTCAAAGACTTAAAACAATTATTAAAACTTTATTGTCCTTGGTGTGAACAGGGCTTAAAACTACAATTTGGTGGGTAAACAAATCAGTTGCTTGTTACACCTGTAGTGAAAGGCGAACAAGAGCTGAGGGTTTGTTGCTGATATCAGTCTCGCTAGCTGTTCTAGACTCTGCTGGCTTCTCATGCTCTTGTTGGTTCTGTCTCTCTCTCAGAGGTTCTCTGGTCGGTTCTCTCCAGGGTCGGACTTTACTGTAAGGCTCAAACCAGGCATGGGTTAGGCAAGGTGCTGATTCACTCTGTGGCTGGTTTTCCTTGCGACCATCACACTTCAGCTCATCAGCTGAGACAAACCATGACACACCTTTAAGAGATTGGGATATATAAAACAGTAAGACAAAAGGAGAAAACAGATCTGTTGATGAAAAATGCCCTTATCTGTGAACATGGAATATGCACCGTTCGGGTAAGAGGTCCGGACACTCTTGTTGCCGGTGTTTCTCTTCAGAGCTGTCAGGCTTTGGGTGGGTTTAGCTGTGGAAGCAGTGGGGATGGGAACGCCACTGCCAAACGTGTTTGGTGAATGGACATTTTTGAAAGCACCTGGGGAGGGAAAGATGGTTCCTACGTCCCGAGTGTGTCTGCGCGTGGCATTTTTCACAATTTCCAAATCACCTGCAAAAAAGTGTACAATTTCCCACAATACATATTTTGTTACTATTTGTCTTTACATATTTTTTTGTCTCTGTCTAATTTACACAGGTTGCTTTGTTTAAAAAGTGGACCGTTGTTGTGTGACTGACCTGCCTGTACACCTTTGCTGAGCAGTTTGACCTTTGACCTTTTGGAATTGAGGCTGTGGGAGACACCTCTTTCAGAATGATGGGAAAACATGCTTGAAGATGACAAAGAGTCAGCAGAGACCTGGAAGACCAACAAAATATTAGCTAAATAATAAGGAAAGAATGTTTGAATGAAGAGTCAATGTTCCTACTGTATTTCACACTAGAGTTTTCCAATATAATGTACACCCGTTACACATTTGTGCTTAATTTGATTTTGCTGGCAGTATAAAATCTTTGCATTTCTCAATGCATTTTTATTTAGCCACTGTTAACCATAATTTATACCCAGACACAAGGTCATTATAGTTTAACAACCTCTCCCAGTCTCTTGTGAGAGTGCTAAGATGGAGATGTAGTGAAAATGATGAAAATTTGTATTTCTGTGAATCAGTTAAAACTGACCACTTGAAAGAACTGATTCAAAACACTTATTCAACAATTATTCACATCACTACTCAAAAATGAAGTCACTATGTGGCATCAAAGTCGCTTCATAGTTTACTAGTATGTTTTGTGATATTAGTAATTTTTACTTCTGTTTTTTACTCTGATTTTTACTGTTTTACTTCTTGCATTACACTGAGCTACAATGTGTTTGTGGAAATTGTTAATTTGATCAAAATAAGCCTTTAAGCGATTTTTTTTCGCTAAAAGCTAAGAGTATAGAAAAATGTAAAGTAATATTTTATATGATCAAAAGGCTGAAAAATACTGAGATGTTTTTAACAATATATAACACAATATAAAATATCTAATAGCATCTTTCTTTTCAATTTGCTGATTATCTTTGAACAAAAAAGAAAATGAACAGTCTGTATGAAAAATTCAATCAGGCATAGGCTTACTGTGGAGTCATCCGTGCTCACATCATTGGTAGCAACAGAGACAGCAGCATGTTTAGTACTGGGTTTCCTTCGGCCAGTCTTCTGCATATTGATGGAGTTGTAAAGTCTAAGCAAGCTGTCACTAGTTTTCAGTCCTTTACTGGTGACCCGGTGAGGTCCAAAAGCTCGCAGCAGGCGCTCTGTGTCAACGGTGGACAGGCTACTACTGCTCGTCTCCATGGACACACTCGCAGACTCGTCTCTCTCGGCAGGACAGCGATGCACTCTCTCTTGACTCTCTTCATGGTCAGGCCATGCTTGTTGTGGAGATGCTTCTAACTGGACTCTTTCTCTCTGCTCTCCTCCCTCAGTGGTCTCATCCTCTCGATCCCTTCTCCTGTCATAGTCTTCATTCCTGCCTTCTGGTTGTAGTATAGTTGGGTCAGTTGGAGTGGTGTTGTGAATGAGACGAGACAGACGCTCCAATCTATCAAGCAGAGACATCTCTCCCTCATTGGTGAGTCGCGTCTCATTCATGCTCCATTTTTCACTGAAGCGACGCCACAGCTGATCCAGAGAACTGCTAATCTCCATGTTAGTATCATGAGGTGTTCTATCCTGCCTTTTCTTGTTCCCCCTGTAGGACTTTCTGATTGGTTGAGAAGGTAAATGGAGTGGTTCTAGTGGCAATTTAGGCTCCTGCATGGAGCTTCTGTGAAGATGCACATCATCTGTACTATAGTCTGCCTCCATGTCAAGAGGGACAAAATTTTCTTCCTCATCTTTATACTGCTCATTTATACTAACAGTCTCTATGTTCTTCTTACAGACATAAGAAGCTTCAGGAGCAGTCCAGTCATTTTGGTCAGCAAAAGTGGCTACTGATTCTGGAAGACCATTTCCAGACACACTTGAAACTAACAGTGGGAGAGACAAAGATGCTTACTGTATATTTATATCCTAAATGTAATAGCATCAGTCCACAGCAAAACATTTTTTTTTTTTACAAAAATAGTTCACCCCAAACATAAAAAGTTCTGTCATCATTTATTCACCATTTCATTTTAAATCCATGACTTTTGTCTGGCTTTCTCCCAAGGTTTTTTCTCCATTCTGTCACCTGATGGGAGTTTTGGTTCCTTGCCACTGTTGCCTTTGTCACCTTTGGCTTTTGGCTTGCTTAGTTAGGGACACTTAATATTCAACAATATTATTGATCTGCCTGCATTGGCACCATTATAAGAGAACTAAACTGAGCTGAACAATGACATCACTGTTTTCTCCAGACCGGGTGTATAGATAAATGAACTAAATTTTTACAACAGAAATGAACCATCACTGAACTTACTTAAGCTGGACTATGACACTATTTTCTTCTAGATGCTGTACAGCAGAAACAAACTTTGTTGCATTATTTTCCTGTTATCACTGTAAAGCTGCTTTGAAACGATATTGTAAAAAGCACTATATAAATAAAGGGGACTTGACTTGACTTCCATGGAACATAAATAAAGGTCTATTCACACAGACCACATTCCACTGCGCTACTTTTCGATTTTTGTTCTATGTAAACACAAGGTTGACAGACATGTTCGACCATTGCACTGCATTGCAGTGTCTCGCGCATGACAGTGTTCTAAAAAAGCTGCGTTCAAGTAGAAAGAAGTTCAACTTTTTAAAAACGCGTCTCAAGAGCTTGCGCCTATTTCTGTTCCGTTTTAACCGCAAAAACGTGTTGTGTGTTAATGGTCCCTTACACATTTTGAAGCATTTCCAGAGGTTGCCAAATTCAACAAAAGAGCAAAAAAACAGACTATAAATGTAGTTCATACTAATATATTCTGCTTGTATGGCTTTAGAAGACATGGTATATTGTGCTCGAGTTGGATAGACCACTTTTCTTGTGCTTTTCTGAGCTTCACAGCCACTATATGCATTCATTTTATGGGGGGGAAAAAAAATTCTTATCTAAAATATCTTCTATTACAAGAATGTCATATGAGGGTGAGTAAATGATGACAATTTAAATTCTTTGAGTGAACTATTTTTTTAAATTTAGCAAATATTGTACAGCTAATAGAAACACTGATGTGCATCTTACCTCTTTTCATATTGACCCTCTTACTGTAGATGCCTTCCTTGTGTTTTGGTGTAATTATGTTGTCTTCTATCTCTCTAGAGCCTAAAACGTCTATATGAAAGTGTGGAGGGACAGCATCATCAGAACCTGCAAAGGGAGCGAGAGAGAAAGAGTGAGCATGAGAGAGCTGGATCAGACAGATACTCAAAATGCACTGAAGCAGAGGGCCCCTGAAGGGTTTGGCATGTGGATCAAATGAGGCTTGTGTTCCTGGATTGCCTTTCTCATGGACAAAGACCATGAATAATGCAGGACTGGGTGAGAGCATGAACCATCTGCAAGACTCGGGAGGAGGGGCCAGTAGAGGAGCAAGTAACAATCGCAGGTTATATATAGGAAAATGTTTGGAAAATATGTAATAGCCTCTATTGCTTGAATATTTATAATAAACTGTAGTGGTCCATGAAATAATGTTGTATCTTAATTAAAAAACTATTTGAAAATATAGTTGAAGTAAAAAAAAAAACATTCTACATTCTCCCTTACAATTACATTATTTATAGATAGATCTGAACTAGAACATGTTTTAAACAAAAGTAGTGACAGATCTTTCTTTCAGTATTGGGACATACATCCGAGTGAAAAAGAATTGTAGGCCGGGGACTTGGTATATCCATTGGTTGTTGATTGGATGGAGGCAGATCGGAATGCAAACTTGCAGTCGATTGTAAGAAAGGGACAGGGTTTATGCATACTTTTATGCCCGACATATCTAATCAGTGTTGTAATTGTTAACTAAAACTATAAAAAATCAGAGTACAGTTCTCTGTGATATACCTGCGTGAGAGCTTTCTACAGTTGTATCAGAGCGACCAGGAGAAAGCTCTGGATCTGCCTGAGGGACATAGAACAGCTCGGAGCTGCCATGAGGTTTGTATGGCAATAGTGCAGGGACAGCTACAGGAAGTGTACATAGGGAAAAACAAATCAACTGATTAATTTACCAAAATGAGATTCAAATGGCACTGAAAAGCTTATATCAATGCTGTCTTACTTGCCGCTTGGACAGAGAGAGTTCTGGATGTCCCAGCCAGCCTCTGAGAGGGAACAAAGTTTTGTGGGTATCTGGCCTGTAAGTGTACACTGACTGTTCCTGCATTCTGGCCTTGAACCGGTTCTCTGTGTTCATAGGAACTGGCATGATTTGATGTTGAGATTCGGGGGATGGACTGCAGATGTTCATCGGTCATGCTTGACACCATTAGTGAATGTCTTTGAAGTGGGACATCTTTACTGCCGTTTTGACTGGATAGTCTGCTTGAGTGGTATTTCACAGGACTGGATGGATGTTTGGGTTTGGGTGATAAAGTCACGTGCATGTGAGAGAGGTGGGACTTACAGCCAAAGTTTGAGACAATCGCAGCACTGGATAATAGCTGGTTACTGCTCGTGACAGGATAATCCATTTGAGGCATTCTTTGAACACTCTTGGAATCATTCGTAACAGCATTCTCTTTGCCATCAGTCATTTCTTCTCTTTCCTTCTCTTCTCTATGTTGTCCTTCTCTCTCTGTCTCTTTTTTGCTGTCAGATACATAAGGTTTAATGACTGGCTGATGTCTCAGTTGTGTTCCCAATTTGGCATCTGCTCCTCTGTGGTGGATCTCTCGCTCTAACGTCTCTTGCTCGGGAACAACACTATCCAAGTCTGCAGTACCTGTGACAGGGCAATTTGGCAGTGACTGTGGAGATGGAGTACGGCGATTGGTTGCTATAGTAATAGAAGTAAAAGGCTGAGACAAAAGCCCTTCTCTCTGGTGAACTTTGGCCCCTGGATCTTGTTGTAAAGGCGTATAAATTGGAACATTGTCTGTGTCTTTCTGCAGCTGATCTGAGATATGATTTTCCATGTTACGCGGTCCAACAAAGTCCTTCGTCAGGTGATATCCAGGACCAACACTCGACTGAGCACTGCCCTCAGAATCTGAGCTCCACTGAGAAACAAAGCAAAAGAACGAAACAAAGATGTGTTATTATGAGATCTAGGGTTGGGGAGGACTGTGGGAAGAAGATAGTGCTGAGTGGGAGAGTCAGAAGAAACACTGCAAGCGTGAGAGCAGACAACAGCTTTACCTTAAACACTCTCTATCAGGACTGTTCACAATGCAGTCTGCCGCACCAGAAACAAAACTCATATTATTTCAGAATTAAATAAAAAACTTCTGGCTGATGACGATAAATATCAGTAATAATGACTAATTATCAGCCATAATATGAATTATGATAAGTGGCCAATATATATATATATATAAAAAAACTTATTTTGTCCAAACAAATTAAAAAAACTACAATCGTTTTAAATACTTTAAGTGAATTTAGGCATCACAAACATTATAATGTCTAGTATGAAAAATGGATATTTTGAGATTTGCTAAAGATTACATTTATTGGTATTATTAATTCATTTGTGTTTTTAAAGGTAAACTTTAAGTGGTTTATGGTTAAAAAAATAGAGAAACTGAGCATGAACAATTATACACTCACCGGCCACTTTATTAGGTACACCTGTCCAACTGCTCGTTAACACTTAATTTCTAAGCAGCCAATCACATGGCGGCAACTCAGTGCATTTAGGCATGTAGACATGGTCAAGACAATCTCCTGCAGTTCAAACCGAGCATCAGTATGGGGAAGAAAGGTGATTTGAGTGACTTTGAACGTGGCATGATTGTTGGTGCCAGAAGGGCTGGTCTGAGTATTTCAGAAACTGCTAATCTACTGGGATTTTCACGCACAACCATCTCTAGGGTTTACAGAGAATGGTCCGAAAAAGAAAAAACATCCAGTGAGCGGCAGTTCTGTGGGCGGAAATGCCTTGTTGATGCCAGAGGTCAGAGGAGAATGGCCAGACTGGTTCGAGCTGATAGAAGGGCAACAGTGACTGAAATAACCACTCGTTACAACCGAGGTATGCAGCAAAGCATTTGTGAAGCCACAACACGCACAACCTTGAGGCGGATGGGCTACAACAGCAGAAGACTCCACCGGGTACCACTCATCTCCACTACAAATAGGAAAAAGAGGCTACAATTTGCAAGAGCTCACCAAAATTGAACAGTTGAAGACTGGAAAAATGTTGCCTGGTCTGATGAGTCTCGATTTCTGTTGAGACATTCAGATGTTAGAGTCAGAATTTGGCGTAAACAGAATGAGAACATGGAACCATCATGCCTTGTTACCACTGTGCAGGCTGGTGGTGGTGGTGTAATGGTGTGGGGGATGTTTTCCTGGCACACTTTAGGCCCCTTAGTGCCAATTGGGCATCGTTTAAATGCCACGGCCTACCTGAGCATTGTTTCTGACCATGTCCATCCCTTTATGGCCACCATGTACCCATCCTCTGATGGCTACTTCCACCATGTCACAAAGCTCTAATCATTTCAAATTGGTTTCTTGAACATGACAATGAGTTCACTGTACTAAAATGGCCTCCACAGTCACCAGATCTCAACCCAATAGAGCATCTTTGGGATGTGGTGGAACGGGAGATTCGCATCATGGATGTGCAGCCGACAAATCTGCGGCAACTGTGTGATGCCATCATGTCAATATGGACCAAACTCCCTGAGGAATGCTTCCAGCACCTTGTTGAATCTATGCCACGAAGAATTGAGGCAGTTCTGAAGGCAAAAGGGGGTCCAACCCGTTACTAGCATGGGGTACCTAATAAAGTGGCCGGTGAGTGTATATATTTACTTTGTTATTTTATTTATCTGACAGATCTGACTACAACAGCAAGTCAACCAATGCTGACATTCACAGAAATAAAATCGGCAGACCTTTCTGTGTACTGTGTTGGCGTATGGATGTTACCTTGGTGTATTTGGTGTTTAGTAGAAGCTCTCTTTTGATGTCTTCAATTCTCTTCCTGTCCTCTGCGTTTAGTTCTAAACTTTCACATCGGCGGCCAGAAACCTTCATCAGGATCCATTCTAGAAAACAGACATTTTCACAACTGACAACTTAAGAAAAGCACCACTGGTAGAGAAAAAACATGTATATGACTATACGACACATTGTTTACCTCGGGCACGGCTATCTTCTGGGTCAGCGGTGCTTGGCCCGCTTGTAACCATAGAAACAGGTGACTCACTCTGCAGGAGCTTGGCAACTCTGGCAGCCAATGAACTCTCGCTGCAACTGTCGCTAAAACTTCCAACCTCAGCTGAGAAATGAGACGAACTATTCTCGGAGGAGCCAATCCCAGCATCCTCAGTCTTGTCCTGGTTCTGCTGAAGGTTCCCTGGTATCGAAGGGACATTTATCTGCATGACAGATGTGGCTGTAGGTGGCTTTGCCTTGTCTGGGTCAGCAGCACTGCAGCCCTCAGGCTCAGCCCGCCTTGGGGTCACACAGAGGTCACGTGACTTCAAACTTTCCTCTCTGCTCAAAGAGAGAGCAGCAGGTTCTATAGTTGTGTGGTCTGTCTGTTGTGGCCCCTGGGAGGACGACAAGCTTCCTTTTAAAGCCGAATCTGATGAAGAGCGAGTTAGCAGCAGAGAAAGGTTCCCACCAGCTGACAGAGATGTGTCATCATAACCTTGAGTGTTTCGTCCTAGTGAAACAAGGGACGTGTCACTCTCTGAGAGACGGTGTGAAGCAGGAGAGGAAGACAGAGATGATCGACCAGAAACCAGGCTTTCTGCACGGCCCAGCAAACGCCTGATTTCATGCAGTGTGCCAGAGCCCACAAACGAGTCTTCACCCTCTTTTACCATTTCTCTGGGATCTGGAGGCGGCACAGATTCTGAGCTGATCTGGATTGGGAGGCCAAAGCTTCCTTCACTTTGTAGAATATCAGATTGTTGTAGGCTTGATGAAGGATGTGATGTTGAATGAAGTGACTGAGTATCCGCCTGGGTGAATATCCTCTTTACACTTCTGTCACTGGCTGGTTGGCTTTGCTCATGCACTGATAAGCGGTGTGTGACAGAAGCACTGGAGTCAGCTGACAGCTGGCTAGAACTGGAGAATGTCTCCTTCTGAAGACTGTCAACTTACACATAGAAAACAAACATACGGCTTTATAACCAAATATGTCCAGCAACAGAATGCAAATAAAACCAATATCAAACTTTCACAGTGAACAAGATGTCAGTTGTCTTTGGCTCACCTTCAGATGGCTGCGTGCTTTTAGTTGATGTTCCTATGGAGCCTTTGATGGTACATAAGTCAGTAGGAGAGAATTCAGGCTCTCTGATTGGTCCTCGTCGAATAAATGGATTTAGGATTGTTGAAGGTGATTGGTCGATGCCCAAATTTAGGAGGTACAACTATAGAAATATAAAACAGAATCATAACTTTAAAAGGTTTGTCTATAAAGGTAGATAAACAAATGACAAAAAGGGGGCCCTAAAGATTACTTAAAATTAAGACAATAATTTTAAGTTTAAGATATTTCTTATTTTAATTCACCCCCTCAAAAAAACCTGGATATATGAGGAAGGCTAATTTTAAAGATATAAGAAAGATATATTTCTTAAGAAGTCATGTCAATTTTTATAATGAATATCATTTTTAGTTATGCCAAGCTCTAAAATATTTTATCACACAGAAATGACTATTTGTGAGTAAGAAATATTGAGGGAAAAAAATAATTCAGTTACTGAAAGTTCAGTAATTATTTTAATTATGATATATAATAATTTCATATTATACACATTTTTATTATTTTATATACTGTATTGAGTTTGAAAATGAGCTGTCAGTACAGCAGAAGTATCAAAAATATAACAACAAACAATCCTGTCAATGTACATAGAGGATCAACCACTGGTGTTGCTATGCCTTTGTCATTGTTTGTGATTTGGTGTGTTTATTATTGTATAATTTTACATAAGTCTGAATGGTCTAGTGTCTTTGTTATGTATGCATTGCATCACTGTGGAAAATAATTTCCTCTTTGAGGACAAATAAATATATTCATTCATATTCATCTTAGGGGCCTGTTGAATATTGACTTTGACAAAGAGTTAAAAAGGTTGAGAAATGCTGCCCTCAATGTTCCTCCTACTTGAGCATAACTGAAAACTAAATATATGTCATATTTAAACTCAACATTTTATTTCCATAATGTATGGCATTTGATTTTATCCATGTGATCTTGGAAAGTAGGGCATTCCATAACAGATTAGAGACATTAATGTGAGTTTGCAGTAAATGGTGGACAACTCAACTTTAATTAAATTGCATTGCATTGACTACTGGCAAGATTTTAGAAATGCTGTTACCACCAACAGCAGCCTAAAACAATATCTGAATAACTATTTGGCTATTAGTTGACATTAACCAACAGCCCATGCAGCAGGTGATGGAAACCCTAAGCAATTAAAAAGGTACGTGTTTAAGAAGTAAAGCATTTTGATGACAGATTATGAAGACAATGATAAATATTTTGTTTTGAATAACGTGCACCGATGAACCATGCTTTATAAGAACAGAAAACCACATTAAGAAATAAGATCAATTTTGATTTTATGCGGACTTTAAAGTCACAATGTAACAGAGGTAGCAACAGATAATTTCCTCCGTTCTCAATAAGATCAAGATGCATTTAGAAAATAGAATAGAAAAAAGAAATTGAAAATCTTTTAAGTACAACCTACTAGTTCTTCTACAGCACTATGTGAACTTACAGGGATTCTGTCTTCAATGTTGAGCTCCTTAGTGTGAGGAGGAGACGCAGGTCTGGAGGTCCAGTAGGGTGCATAATTATCTACCTCAAGACTCACTACAGAAGAAGCAGCACCCACTGACGCCCGCATACTCTGCTCGCCATGACAACTGCCTTGAGAGCTGGAGAGAGTACTGCTCATGTTGAGGCTTGATGGTACATCACTGAAGCGACCAAGACTGATGAGAGGAGACATCTTGATGGAGCTTTTGTCCATGTGAGGAGCTGAACTTCCACCAGAAAGTAATGATGGCCGACTGTCCAATGATCTGGTGGCTGGAACGATGTCATCAGATTGTGCTGCTGGAACTCGCTGACTGTGTGTGCCAGTGTCTCTCTGAATAGAAGTCACCACCGAGCTCAGAGAGGAGTGAGAATGTGAGCGATTGACAGGTGACTCGGATGCTTGTCCTCTACATGCACCCACCCCAACTACATCCACCCGACGGGGTGAGCTGCTTCCAGAATGAGGGGAGGACAGTGGCTGAGTCACTTGGGAGCTAACATTAGCACAAAATTCTTGACGTGTGTCTCGAGAAAGCATGTGCTTAAGTGCCTCAGACACTGCATCCTGTGCTTTTATCTTGGGAAACACACCATCAAACCCCTGTAGGTCCAAATTATCATAAAACGACCTGCTAGAACTTTGATTGGCTTTCCAGGCATCAACTTTTTGTAAGTAGCTCAGACTGGGAAGAGACTGTACTCTGCCAAGAGTACCAGAGTAAAAGGGCTGAGTGTCAGAGTGAAGTGTATCAGAGGCCGGTGGATTTAAAACCGGAGGAGAGACTTGTTCATTTGAGACACGTGACATAATTTGTGCAGTCTCTGAAGGTCCACCAAAGGCTGTAGCTGTTGTTTCAGAGTAGATGGGAGAAGAATGTTGATCACTTAGGTCCAATGATGTTAATAAGCCAGTTTTTGAGTGACTGTTTTGGGCTGATGGAGCCACAGAGGCAACAGCCTCTTGTTTGGAGTGTTTGAGTGAGAGTTTGGTCAATGCTGGTGGGGGTCTCATGAGAAGTACTGCAGGTGTGGACTGAGACACAGGCTGCGAGCTCAAAAATGATCCATCTGTCGCTGTTAGATGACCGGAGCTCCAAAGCGCTCTCTGCAGACCGGGTACATGCATCACACCTTCATCAGCTGGTGTGACACATAGTCCACTTTTGTTCCCACTATGATGCATACTTGCTGGTGCAGAGATTGAGCCTGTTTGTCCTGCAGACAGAAGCTGATCACGGAGATGGTCAGTTGCTTGATATGGGTGCATCTGTGACTCACGAAAAGTAATATTTGACACATCTGAGCCAACAACTGAACCTACAGCCTTCTGAAATGAAGATGGTGATGACAGTGAACTTCCTTGTGGCTGCTCTCGGCCTGTTTGAAGGTTCATGGAAGGATCCAACTGGCTTTTGTCAGTGTTTTGGGTATTTGAAGCAGAGGAAACAGCACTACTGCTGCTAACAGCCACAATAACATCCTCTTCCCTGTACTCTGATAGGAGCTGAGCAGACATTCCCTCACTAAGCTGCTGAGCAGTGGTCTGCTCCTCTCCTTCCATATATCTGATGATTTTGTCCGCAGAAACATATGAAACACTCCCTTGATCCTCAAGTCCTTTGCTATGGTCTCCAGGTGACAAGCTGTGCTGGGAAAGTGAACAGAAGCTTTTTTCACCCTCTGACATGGATTCTGGTACCTCCAAAGGATGCTGGGAAAGCGTAGCCTGGTCATAAATAGTATGTTGGAGGTGGGAAGCATCAGTTACAACTACATGTGAAATCCTGGGACATCTTTCAGAGACAACTGAGAGGTCAGGAAATCCCCTGTGTACATAAATACAATAAAGAAAATATTATCTAAAAAATACAAAAAGGTAAAGAAAGAAAGAAAAGCCCAAACTATGAACATGACTAAACAAACAGTACCGAAGAGGGACAAATTCTGCATCTGTATGCTGAAAAAATGCGGAGTCAGAAAGAAGGTGAGATTTGTCCAGGCAGGGAAGCAGGGTAAGTGCAGGTGACATCTGGCTATCCTGAAACTCTGGGGAAAAAAGAAAATCATTTGATGTAATGATTATATATGTCATTATGTAAATGAAAAATAAATATGTATGTAGGTAACTTGCGCTAAGGCACGGTGGGGTTTCAAACGTCTGAGAAATGCTTTTTTGTATTTAATAACAAAAAATTCATGACAAATTTGTCAGCATCCGAGTGAAAAGATTATCTGAAAACGTTACAAGAATGTATTAGTATTTGGTTAATCGCCCTTTGCTTTAATTACAGTATCACTGCTTGACTATACAATGATGATCATGTTCTCCAGTATAATTTGATATGATGCAAAGAGCATCTTGAACTTGATTGGAAGAGTATCTGACCATCTGTACAAAAAAAATTGCTTATTTTATTTGCAGCAGAGATCACAATATTTGAAAATGTCACAATCCCAAAATCCCAGGTTTAAATTAGATTGAATCTCAGATCTCTGGAACCCACTGTATAAATACACCTGCTGTCTGTACCTAGTTGTAAAGTCTCAGATCTGTCTATCAGTGGCTGCACGCTTAAGTCCTGAGTGTTGCTAAATGGTCTTCCATGATTGTCAGGATCTGTGCATGGTCTGTCAGCCTCTGAACCATGAACATGTTGTCCATGCTGCTGGCAGGGAGCCTCTGCAGGGGTCTGTAAAGGTAAAAACATACTCTATTAAAAGTAATTAGTGTATTCAAGATTGTATTTTTTTTATTTCCGATCTATTTAATTGTATTCACATATCTATATCCATATATTCACTGTTTTCCTTGTATCTTTTATGATTACTTTTCCATACATTTATTATCAGCTAATCATTATATTTTTTTAGCTAAGTACATTTCATGTTCTTATGGACTGCAACAGGTAGTCGTTATTAATCTGATTTATGTTTTCATTTTATTTCTACATCGTCATTATTATGAGACTCTAGTTTATAGTTCTCTAATTACCTCTCCGTTATTCAAATTGGTTACTACTTAGTTATACAATTACATTTCTCATAATTTCTTGTTAAACGTTAGCTAGCCTACCTGGTTTATCACACTGTATCAGGAATATTCACACAATTATCTATGCAAGTGCATGTGTGTGATTACTTCGACCATCAAATACATATGGCAGAATTGATCATTTATTATTCCTTATCAGTTAAGTGGAGTAAGTTAGAGTGATTTACACTACTAGAAACTCTTGTTTTTGTGATGCTGTGTCTGCAACCCACTATTTAGCCTGAAGAAGCTAGCAAGTTATTAGCCGATGACTACAAAGCTTTTCACGTTCATCCAAGTCTGTTCTTGTGCCTTCAGTTGAATGTTGACTATATAAATAAATAATCATGCGTTGAGTGCCAGCAAGTCACTGGACAGTCATTAGCGCTAACTTTGAGCACAGCTCACTTGTTGCCAATGCCATGCAGTGTTACTACTAGCTACAATGTTGTTGTTAGCGAGTTAAGATCTATCATGCAGAAATTATATCGAAAGCTCGCACATTCCAGAAAAAAACACGTAAGCAACCATATTTCTAGTTTTACTACTTGACAGCAATTTCCATACACTTACATTGTTTACGTTTGCAGCATCCTCCTCTAAATCCATGTTGTGGTTGTGACGGACACACTGACGCAGACGTTAACGCGCATGCGCACTTGCAGGAGTTTGAATTGACCGTGAAACTAATAAAATACAACCAGATTATAATGTGTAAACGGTTCCAGTAACAAAATGTACTGTGTAATCATCGGCTAATAACTTGCTAGCTTCTTAAGCGAATTTAGTTATCTCGAAGTTATGAAGTTAAACACAAGAAGCACATAGCCACACTTACACGGTTTAGCCAGGTTTAGCTAAATTGAATAGACAACATACATGAGATCCAGTAGTAGCGAGGCGAAATGACGCTGTTGCTATGGCAAAAAGAAAAGCCCGCGGCTTTGCGCGGGAAGTGAAAGTACAAAAAGTGCAAAGCTTTATTTATACTTTACATTGCTGCAGAGTATTTAGTCTTTCTATCTTGACAGTACTGAAATACAAGGCATGAGTGGTGTAAACGTTATTTCAAGATAATTGCTTAAGTTTTATTTCGATTTTTTTGTTACTTTAGATTAATTTATTGAGAACTATCGATACAAAATGTGCATTAAATGTACTTTATAACAGTTTTCATCATGATGCCGTTGTCTTGACGATCTGCTGCAGATTCAGAAAATTGCATAGAGAAAAATAGGCCTATAGTGGCCAATTTATTTTAATCCAGCAAACAAACTAAACAATTTTAACTAAAGATGTTTAATGTTCTGTAATTATTGTAGTGCCTAGAATACAAACTAGTAAACTTGGAAATAGTTTAAAATAATAAAATAACCAAAATAACATTTTGCTGATTATTTTACCCAATAAATAATGTTTTGTTGACCAAATGCCATTGTTACACAGGCAGATTTAGTTTTTGGAGAGGACATATATGGTAGTAAATAAAGAAAAGATAGTGTAAAAACAAAACAGTTGAAGACAGGAAAGCATTTATTTTTCTATTAGGCTACTTAGGAATTAAAACATTTGGTCACCCATTTTAAATAAAAAAATTTTGACGGGTTTAGAGATATAATTTTTAGTTGCACTACAATCTATTTGTGATTCAAAGGTTCGAGTCTTAACAACACAAAAGTGCTCTTGCAAGGTTCAAGTGTCAAATGTGTATTTAGTGAAAAATCCTGCTGTTCCCTTGGGGGTCCCTCAAACAAACCAGCAGATAAACTCATATTGTACTTACTATTGTTGTAGAAAGTTGTTACCTCTTATTGTTGTCTTCTCTCTTTCAAAAAATAAAATAAAAATGATGTCGGGGAGTTCCAGATGCCAAAACTCAAGGCTTGACTTTATTGGTCAAGACAACAAAGCTGAGATGCCTGCAGAACATCTATACCAATCCCAGTAGCAGCTTTCACTTTTATACAGTTAATGACCTCAAGGTGTTCTCCTCCCTTTCTTTTTTTTTAGCACATCCCTAAACTCTTACCATAATTATTTAATATATTCTTGGCTTCTCCCCAATGGCACACCCACAGTCCACCCACTAAAATATATTTTATGATTATTACCTCACTCCACAAGACTATTCAAAAGATTCCAAATACTGACAGAAAACACAAGCCAAAAAGACATAATATCTCTGTACAGTGGAGAGGCTGGTACATGTTCAATGATTAATTTAGCATTTTATTGTGTAATTAAATTGTTTCCATTAATTTAATGTATTGATATGCAACCTCATAACAAACAATGAAATTAGAAAAAGTCTTTACATTAATTTATAGTCTATTTTTTTTAGTAGACAAACTAATTATTTGCACAGTATGCTATAAATGCAGTTATCTTATTTTATTTCAAACTTATACAATTATTTCTCTCTTCCCAACCGCACCACGTGGTGCACCATGGTTGCGCGCGTACGTCTAGAAAGAAGGTGCGCATGCGTGTAAACGGGCACTGTCTTGTGTGTGCAAAGGTGGAGACGAATCTCGAGAAAACATTACGATTGGAAGGAATGTAAAACCATTTAGAAGTTACTTAAATATTTTATAATTTAGAATTACTTAACATATATAAATATATTCGCAAAAATGTCAAGAAAGAACACCATAGGACCGGGTAAGTATTGCTCGGCTCTTTTCATGACGTCTACTAAAACTTCGCCACCTCATGCAAACACATGTAGCTCTAACAACAATAGAGAGGACGTGTCGTTTAACAATGACAGGCCTGAAAATTGTGCAGAGGCTCTGAAAGAGTTCCATTTTTATTTATGCTGTCTTGTATATTTTCGGGTTTTGTATATCTCAAACTTCAACAGTATACGAAAGAAGCCATGTTTTGATCACATACTGCTGATTGAGCCACACAATGGACTCTTAGTGTAACGTTATCTGTGTTATTGAATGTTCAAACTTTTAAAATAAAGTTTTTCTTATGATTATTTCAGAATACTTCCGGATGCGTGATGATGAGCGCCTCATGCGGACTCACGTGAGTGATTACGTTTCTGTGCATTAATTGATCACATTATTCAGCGTTATTTAAATTCTAATTAATCTGGGGTGGTGAGTTTGAGTCCGTAATTTCAATTTTTCTGTGCTGCCTTTTTTTAGGAGGCTATGGTCGATTTTATCAACGAAAGACCTACAAACCGCAGCTTCTTAGATGCTTTAAGTTTTGGTTATGAATTTGGTAAGAAACGTCTTTATTTTACACAAACATGGCCTAATAGTCATGCATGGTCGTTTATTTAAAACATATATTGTAGGGCTGGTCTGATATTCAAATTTGGCTATTATTGCAATTGCAATACTTTAAAACTACTCCAAATATTGTTTGTTCTAGTGCTCTAAAGTTTTAAATGCAAGACCATGTGCATTCAACTTGAACTTTGTTCAGCAACATAGTGCATGATGTCTTTTGTTTGGATGCAAAAAACAAATGTCCCTGTGATATTAAAGTCACCATGAAATCATAATTGACCACTCTTATTTATAATAACTTCCATTTCATGCCAACATTAAAGTTCTTGTAAATCAATTTTCTTTGTTTCAGATGAACTGGGTCACATTCAAATCTTCATAACTATAGTGTTTTTCTACTCATTTCCACTTAATGATCTTTAGTTTTCTGTGGCATTTAAGCAATTTTTTTTGTATTAAAGTTCCAGAACTGGACCGCTTTGCAGCTCAATTTACAGGATATGAAGATTCATCTGATGAGGATTATTATGATTATGACGACGATAACGATAAGTATGATGTCCGTACAAACAACAGATACTGTGGCTTTTCTCAAAACTTCCTTGATAGAGGCCTGCCAAAACCATCCAAACACATAACAGCTGAGGTTTGTATCTAACACCTGTGGTTCACTCGTTGTTTTATTTAACTTTTCATTTAACGTATTATTATTTAACTTCTTTTTAGGAAGCAGAAAGAAATGCAAAAGAGTTAGTGGATGAAGAAGAAAAACTTAAGAAAAAGGCAGAGAAGAAGAAACAGAAAAAGATGGTGAGGACATACATGAAGAAAAACAAGTATTTTTGTCTGATTATCATAAGCAGGAATATTTTGTTGAGTTACATTTTTCTGCTATATAACAGAGACAGAAAGAGAGACGTCGGCTGGAAAAATTAGAGAAGGAAAATGCAGATAAAGAAAAAAATAAACCGGTAAGAGAAAACAAATGTTATTGTGTGACTGCTTTGTTGTATGGTTTAAGTATTAATTAAAATGATGCTGCAGTTTATGGTAACTCGTCATACCTCCATCGTTTAGAGTCTGTCTTACCGAAAGTCCACGGACTTAATTTTATCTTGGTGTTTCTTTCTTTGTTCTAAGGTACAAGTTGACCCTGGACCAGAAAAGACTAAACATGCAGATAAAGATGAAAATGAAAATAAAATTAAAAACAAAAATTGTTCATCTGTGACTTCTGGTCTTCAACACACCTCAAAACCTGTGGAGAGCAGTGATAGTAGTAATGACGACGAAGACGAAGAGGAAGAGCCAACTATGGAACCAGAGGTGGGCAATATGACTTAATGTCCCTTGTCATTTACAAAAGTGATATGAATTATACAGTAGATAAAAAGCTCTTCAGTTGACAGTGCTTTATGTGTGTCTTAGGAGCTTGACATGAATAGCTGCTTTGTGTCAAACGCAGCTGCTATCGCCAAGCGTAAACTAGAACAAAAACCCAAACCTGACAAGAAACCTGCTCAAGCAAACTCAAGAAAACAGCGTGGGTCGGAGCAGAAAGGCACCACTACGCCACAAAAACCGGTTGGAAAGGATGAAATAAGAGGACATGTAAGAAAAATGGAGTTTTTTTTTAAATGTATATAATACTATTAAATAGGTTAAGGGAAGGTTCTTGGTATGATGGTAATAAAACTCCTGCGTTTGTTTTATCTGTGCGCTCTGAGATGCAAGTCATTTATGATGGAGGAAAAAAGAGCCACAGTAGCTTCCCCGATTGTGCAACTTCCTTTTTTTTTTTTTTTTTTTTTTTTTTTTTTTTACAGACATTTTGCACCAATTTCTCAGGAAGTGACTATTTTGTTCTCTTGCAGACATGGGATGAAAACACTGCTTTATTCGCATATGTTTTATGTGATATTCCAATTTTGTACTTGAGTTAAAATCACAACTTTAAATGAAAGTATAGTTATTGGGCGTGTCTAATATAGAAATCAGCTGGTTTACTGCCTGGTGATTTAGTGTTGTATCATGTTTAATGATCTAGATACAAATGAGCTTTGGAGACAACCAGGTGAATATGCAATAGCTACAGTTCTTACGTCTTAGTGGAAATAAAAGTAGTTTTAAGTTGAAACTGAACATTTCTTTAACAAACTGAGATATGTAATCCATTATGTCCAGTGTTTTTTGATTAACTGCCAAATTATTTACACAGGATTGTGAGTTAGATTTATTTTTTTGTAAAAAAATGTATTGGTGGGAAGATGACAAAAAGACGGGTATAGGCGTGATGCAGTGTACTTTGTTATAAAACTGACCTTTAACAAGTACATCAAATCCTGACAGAGAAGATAGTTAATCATTTCTCTAAATATCTATGTAATCAGATCAAAACAAATAAAAGAGAAACTGGTTGATGGGCCTGTACAAGGCAATGAGA